AGTCTTAATTGACCTTAGAAGGCTAGGGCCAAAATGTTGGCTTTCCTTGTAGCCCTCTTTTTTCTCTAATTTTTTAGTGTTTTTTTGTTTTGTTTTGTTTTGTTTTGTTTTGTTTTGTTTTTTTGCTCCGAATGCCTTCAAGGCGTGACTGGCTGTCTTGTGTTGTGGGGATCGAACCACAGCAACCTGAGCCTGACTGCTTTGTTGAAGCAGCCACTTAAAGAACTGAGCTAAGGGGCAGGCCCCCCTATAATACAGTCTTAATATAGCTTCAATATGCTATACTTCATAATACTAAAATATTAACTAGAGCATCTGGTAACATGGGCATTCACTGAAAAATTCTTTTAATTTTGTTGTATGTTTGAAATGTTTAATAATTACATATTGGATATATATATTATCAAAATGAATTATATACAATTTGTACCTCAGGAAAGCTTTTGAGAACACTGACAGACTACACATATGCTACGCCTCTGACAGTGGCTCTGGCCAGCAGTGAGCAGCAAGTGCCATGCCCCTCCCCCGCCCCCACTAACTCATCTGTAGACCACTGGCCACATCCTCACTGACCTCCGCCAGCCCCATAGTCTTGTCTTTGTTTTATGGTAGGAGGAAACTCCCTGCTTGAGGACATCACAGCTCCTAACCCCTTGCTGACAACAAGAAAATTGAACCAAGACTCAAGGGTAGGAAAACAGATCTGCAAAAAGAAAAGGTGCTTGCACTGTGATGAGAAGTACCAATCGAACAGCAGGTGTCAGATGGAGAAGCAAGCACTCCAAGATAAATCTCTTTACGCCTTCTAACACCTGAAGTTGGGCACTATCATCAAACCATCACAGGCTTCTGCTTGTCCGCAAAGTGTTTAAAGCTACTGTGTTAACAAAAAATGAGGATTTGTATTCTTGTGGTGTACATTTCAGAAAAGAGGCTATTTCATTTAGCTTAAATTTTTTTTAAAGGGGGTGTTCTCCCCCCTGCCTTCTATCATCACAACTGATATTTCTAGAGATCAAACAGGGGTGGAGGGGTTGTAAGCATCCCCTTTTAAATTGGTTTAATTGCTTGGGACCCATTAATGTATACAATTTTTATGTTTTTAAGTATCAGTTGAAAATTTAAATTTAAAAACTTGCAAGCACATATTTCCCTTAGTTAATGCTGGAATTTAGAACCTCTAATATAAATGCCACTAAAATAGTCTTCAATTTTGTCTGTTGTTCAATACAGGAAACATACAAATAACACATGTTAACCCGACTGATACAGAATATTCTTTAATAAGAAACTTTTTTTGGTCCTTTTGAGGATTACAAAACTCTAATTTTAGAATCTAGGTGATGGCTATATGGAGCAAGAGGAAACAGGCTCACAAAATCACAGAAATGTATTAACATGGTCTGACCTTAAAGATGCAAAACTTTAAAAACAACTTTCTCTATTGTAATGGAACATCTTTTAGGAACTTGCTTATTACATGA